TTCTACGAAATGTCTCATCGCACCTGCTGCCTCATCATTGTGTTCAAAAAACGATGGCGCTCATACTGATCCCCTTGATCTCCAAATGATCCCCACTTTCTTGAATGAGGGTTATTAAATGTCAATATGAATGTTGTTTCAAATGGCATGTTTTATTTTGCTGTCCCTATTCTTCATTATTATTCACAAGAAAAAAAAGAGGGTGTCAAGGGACTTATGGAACACCCTGTACTTTGTATTTAAGTGAATCTTGTTAATGAGGGGAGGATTTTATTTTTTATTTATATTTATTTATTATTATTATTATTTTTTTTTTTTTACCAGGAGACTTGGATGGCTCAACATTATCTTTGCTCCTTGTGTCAGAGTGTCGGATGTTCTCGAGATCTCGTTATCTTCCAAAATGTGGATCGGTTACCTTCACTCGATTGTTAAGGGCGTTCACACTTCGCGTGTCATGCGTCCTCTGCGTAGATGCTTGGGCAGGTAGGCAGACGCACACGCATGTCCACATACTTCTAAGGGTTTTCACAAGACGCATGCAATCACATATCGACAGTTTTCACGCACGGATGATGTACGATGGGAAAAGCGGGGGGAAATGACTAAGCCAAGCCATAAGATCATGACTAATTTTAAATAATTGCAAGAAATTAAATATGATAGAAAAAATAAACTGAAAGACAACGGGGGAAAATCATGCGGGTTGTCTCTAATGATCGGATGTTCATTCTTATCCGCATGTTTACTGTGTCAAGAGACGATGCGTCACTGCCTCGGCTTCGTGCATGTAGAAATATGTTAATCTTCACGGCAGTGCGTAACCATGAGTAGCCGTCGCTCGATAAGGCATAAAAATAGGATTCTTTCCGGGTGCTTGTTTGTATTGGGCGTGCCATAACGTAGTTTCAAGGGCGGGTTTACTCTCGTGTTTGCGGACCCCCCCCCCCCCCCTTTTGAGGCAAAGTTAGGCTATAAAACTGTCCTTTTGGTAAAGATAGGATCCCAACATGAAAGCATGGGCTATAATTTATATTAAATCTTTTTGGGCTGATAGTTGATCAGAATTTCAATCAGTCCTTCAATCAATCAAGAAACCTGTCATTAATTAGTTTATCGAATTTTCATGTACTCATAATTCCCTCTGAAATATGAGAAAGAAGATTCTACTTTAGGAGTTCGGAAAGTAATGAGAATCGTTTGTAAATTTGTAAATCTGCAAGCAATGCACTTCCCGCTGCTCAGGCATTTAGATTAATATGTAATCTCTGTGTGCTTATTTTCAAGTCGATCCGTTGAGAAGTGCTTACAGAGCTGACTTCAAAAGACAGTTCTAAAAAGATCAGCGCAACGCGGGCTGTTTTCAACAATTTGGATATGGCTACAAGCGCTGAGAACTTTCGCTTCTATGCGTTCACGTGGTTCAAACTTGGCATTGCGGCCGCTGCCTGTTACACGGAACGAGCTTGTTGCAAAGGACCATGTTGAGTTTGTTGCAGGAAACCTCCACGCCTACGCGGAAAAAAAAGCCCGGATGTGCTTGGCGCCGTTGATGCGAGCCGCTATGTTGTCCTCGGTCAGTAGATGCGGTACTCAAACTGCTGCCCAACGTTGCGCAGTTGCAGGTCTTGAGAGAGCACTTCGTGGATGCTCTTGCCAACGTCGAGCCCCTCATCCAACTCTCGAGTAGTCACTTGGCAGTCTTCATCCACCAGCTCTCGCACCGTCTCGACAAGCTCTATGTCTGGGTGGACCTTGGACGGCTATTGTGGTCAAGAAAGGAAGGCTCCTCCTCCTTTTCAGTTGCTTCTCTGAGGCTGTTGAACCACCGGAAGACAGTAGACTTGACATACACAGGGACCACTTCCATGTAACAGGCAGCGGCCTAAATACCAAGTTGGAACCTCGTGAACGCATTGAAGGGAAAATTTTATTAAAGATAAACCTGTTTTGAGATACATCATGGAAGCAAAATGTCATGTCTAGGGTTGTCGATTTCCTTTTTCCTGAACCGGTCAAGGAAATTGTCTTCAGGCAGAAGCGTCGAAGGTTGTGTGGTGTGTGGGGGAGAGGAGGCATGTTGGATGAAGGGAGGCGTGTTGGATGGAGGGAGTGATATTCATTGAGGGAGGAGGTCCGGACATCTCCCCCTGGTTCATCCTTCTGGGAGTGATAGCTAAAAGTGGATGACGGCAAAATGGGGCTCCGGTTGAGGGTGGCAGTCATAATGGAGGTGGGGCTGAACCCCCGACTCCCAACTCCCCCCTCGCTCAAATACCTCACACTGCATCTGCTGGAGAGGAGAAAAATGTCTGGAGGTGGGAGAGTAACGGAGGAAGGAGGGAAGAAAGCATTTGCTTTTGGGAGGCGACCACCCCGTTTGCCCATTACTTTTCCTTTCTACCCCCCCCCCCCCCCCGTCAATTTCTTTTTTCCTTATGAAGACCTGCATTCCCCGAGACAGTCTCTTCTAAACTTGTAGTCCCATCTTACCCTTCCAGAATCACACACCTTCCAGCGAGAATTACAAGGAGAGAGCAAGAGTGGGGGGAGGGAACGAAGACACGTGCCCAGATAAGACGTCCCCATTAAAAAAAAATAAAAAAGAATAACCCTCAGCTGAGTCATGTTTCCCTTCTCCAACTCCATGGGTGACATCTATCTCTCATGGGAATTCCCGGAAACGCTGGGGACGGGAGGAGTACGGAAAACATTTTTTCCGGTCGAGGAGAAGCCTGCGATGCCCGGAATTTCTTGCGAAAAAAAAGGGAATCGTCTCCTTTTCTTCCACACCTTACAGTACTTCCCAGAGAAAATGGATTTTTCGTGTTTCCTCTGCGTCACTCGCGACAAGTTGGCGAGCTGAACCCCTCCCGACCCAGAGCTTTTCGACCATTGCCACTTTTCAATAACTGCACTTCTTTTGGTATATCGGTTGCCTTTGGCGGGATTTTCTAAATATTGTACTGATCAAGGCAGCGTTTCTCTGAGCGGCTCCATTTTAAAGCGGACTGCGAATTTTTAAACTCCGCAGCATTAGGAAATTCGGAATTTCACTGGGCAACTTGCCCGTTTTAAAGATCTGGCTAAAAGCCCTGTCAGGAGAGTATTGTGAAATACTATTGCATCCAGTAAATCTTAGGTTAATATTTTGGAAAGGTTCATTTCTATTTTTTTTTTAAATTAAAACGTACGTTTTCGTTAGAAGTAAATTAATCATAAATCGTTTTATCCTATCGTCAGTGGTTTTATTTTAAAGTTTCATTTGTTTTCTTAACCCTTTCAGACCCCGCGTCCATTCCAATGGACATTGCATTTTCATTATTTCTATGGTAATTTTTTGGAATTCTTGTGACTTTGCACCCCGTGTTACACTACAATGGGCTCAGTTATGCATGGCTCAATTCCGTCGGAGGCCTTTTCCTATCAGTTTTGTAATCTTCGTGTTATGTAATTACATTTATAATATATGGTATGATGTGGTAAATTTATACAAAATATAAAAATGATAAATAGAGCACACAAATTTAAAGTAGAATGGGAAAAGAGCTCAAAAATGCAAAATAGTGTATTATTCCAATAGTGGCCTCAATTCAGGTCTGAAAGGATTACCTTATTTCTGGAGACTCCCTCATCCAAAAAACTGGTCCCAACGAAGAAAGAAGTTATCGCAGATCGTGATCGACGATGACCTCGTCTCATTCTGACCCCAAGGGGCGAAAGCAGAGGGACCATGGAACCCTCGCCTCAAAACTCGAGGAAACGTGCCACGAAGCAAATTTCTCATTCATAAAAGCACATGCATGCGATTGGTCGTTAAGCTGGACGTGTGCGCGCCGGATCCGGCCGTAGTTTCCGTCCAGCTTATGGGGTTCGCCAGACTCTCGCGGTCTCCGTCAAGGCGCTTGGTCTTCAATTCCAAGCCTCTGACGAATAGTGCAGAGCATCCAGATTGTTTTAAGTATTAGTACGTGTGAATTACTATACTCGTTTTCCTCGAGTCCTTGGAGGCCGAGCCCGAGATGCACCTCCTGGGTTATTGGCCATCAATCTTAATTTGGTTTTGATCGAAGTAATGGACTCCTGACTTAGGATTTGAGGAGAATCCTGTCCCGCCCGTCTCTTGCGATTGTTCGTACCCCCGTCATTCTACATTATGCAAATGTTACAAATTCAATGGAGATCGTTTGCAAATGACCGATCTCATTCCTCCTTCTGATTTTCCGCATAAAACCCTGATTTTGAAAGTCCTTGGTAATGCGCTTATACACCCCACGGTCTCCATTCAAATTCTTGCAGAGGAGCCACTGCGTCGGAATGAAACTCGTCACTCGAGCTCGTATTTATTATATAAATAGTACGCACTTTCTTGGAGACACGTGACTTCCTTCCCACGCCTGCCGGCCCCTCCTAGTTTTTTTTTATTTTTGTGTCCTCATTGGATGCTACAATTTTCTCGCATTTCGCTTTCATTTTGAGCGCTTATCGCAGTATCAGAGGTGAAGTGTCCACACGTGTGGGTTTTCGTGAGAAGCAGTATCAGATTGCAGGCCTCTGTTGCACTTTTCCTGTAATTCGAGGATGAAGAGAAACGGAAATGATGGCGTCATAACTTAAACCTGCAAATTGAATCAGCTTGCTTTATTTATCGTTCAAATCTGCTATTGCATTTCATGACGCCGAAGAGCGTCAGAAAGAATGAAAGTGATGATTTATTGTGCGTTACTTCCCATTAGACCCTCCCGAATTCAATTTCTCTGGATTGCTGGTGATGTGCTACATTTGTTTCCATGTCTGTGAAAAGAGCTGCACACGGTCCCGTGCGAGGTCCCCCAGCCGCCCCGTCAGAAGACGGAGGAGGCTGAGCTGAATCTCCGGGAGTATGCCGTGGTGGGTGGGGTCTTCTACCTGGATCTTCTCCACGTTCCTCCCGACATTCACCGCATCGGGTCACTCGTCGTCATGCAGGGTGAGTTCGTAATGACCAACGAAATCGGTGGGTTTTATTAGTTTTTATTTTATTTTATCAATACCTCTCAATAGCATGAATGTCTATGGTACAATGGAGATTCGTGAGAAGGTGAAACATTCCTGATAGGATTTTCACTGGTTATCGCCAACGAGGATGGCTTTCTTCAGCCTTGCCCAAAAGAGTTTCTCTTCTTCGGGTCGATCCGAGGGCCACTTGATGTGAGTCCTCGTTCTCATAAGGTACCTGAGGTCCTTTGGGGTGGAGGACTTGTCCATGTCCTCTAACAGGACGAGCACGATTCCATCCCGTTTGTCTTCTAGCAGTTGGTGCTGTGCCGCGTCTAACTCGTACAAACACCAACTACTCTTCAGGAAGTGCTTTGATATGACGAATAACATTTTCCGGCTCCGCGCGATCGCCGCCACGATGTTCGTTGTCACCGATGCGCCGACCTGTAGGGGAAGAGGCGAGGACTTCATATTTTGCATATCCGCTTAATATGGATTAATATGATTAGATTATTATATGATTAGACGGATTAATAGGATGGATTAATAGGATGGGTTTTTCTCCAGCCGCTCGTAGCTGCTGGCGAACAGGACACCTTTCCGTCAGTGCTTGACACGACCACGCCATTTAATGACATCACCCTCGGGCAAGCAGCTGCCAGCAGAACGCAGCGAACTGTGAGCGCTGAACAGGCTGGCACGATTGTGACGTCATGAGATGCTTTGAAAGCGTCGCAGAGCCACTTAAAAAAGAAGACGCACCACATGAACCTAGATCGTGGTGAAGGACTAATGACGTCAAAGGAAGCAATAGAACACAACCAATCGCGTTCATGGCTGCCTCCTCCACTTAACGAAGGAGAGACGTCATGTGAGTTCATAGCAGACGACACATGAGCTTTAACGGTATACTTCAATCAGTAGCGTCCCCAGAAAATTCCAATGGGTGGGGGGGGTTGACATGAAAAGTTGGTAACTCACCCCTGCATATATGGTCAAATTCAACATTTTTTTTAGAATCGAACCTGTAAAATGTATCCAAAGGGGGGGTTATGACCCCCATAACCCACCTTCCGCCCCCTTGGGCACGCCACTGACTCCAATCCCGGATTGGCCTAGAAGGGCACTGCCAGTGAGAGAAGAGCCTAGAGCGGCCATTGCCCTTGGGTCAATTCATGCGATGGAGCCCCAATCTTATTAATCAACTTGTAGACTGCTCACTTTCTATGGTGAATGCATCTGAATAGGTTGTATGCTCAAGGCCTAGTAAATATGGAATGTCTAGAGGGCCAATCTCAATGTACCGGTATTAATTAACTTGTAGATAATTGCAGTTTTCTGCAATTATCTTTAAAACTTTTATGGAGGAACATCGGAGCACTAATTTTCCTTTTATTAATCGTGTACCTCATGCGTAGGTACTGTATGTGAACCAAAGAGGCAGACTAGTATCAATTCATACATAGGCTTAAACCGACTGGAGCATTTTAAGAACAACGGCGGTATACAGGCCAATATAGACCTATGTCAGTATAGGTATCCCAGATGCAGCTGAATATAATATTCCTATGAAACATGCTCAGCGGTAGGACGATTCTCGCTTGTTACATATATCGGATATAGCTGTAATAACATCAGGTATGTGAGACAACTTCCAATCCCCTTAAGTTAAAAAACATCGTCCCGTCGTGTTTTGAAACTGATGTCTTTGATGCAATCGAGAGGAAAATGCGCGCACCCCCACGTTTTGAGACCGGATATTTACGTAATTTAGTTGAAAAGGGCAGATTGAAAATTTCTTGTTACGTCCAATTACGTGTTATAGGAGGCGGACGTTATAATAGGGCCGGAATTTGTCTCACCCTAACAGTTTGCTTTCTTGGGCTATCCCAGAACTCTGACGCCCTCGTCTAAGAACTGTTAAGTAAGCTATTTTGTCAAAGTAACTAGATTAAATTACGAACTACTGACTGGAAAAAGTAACGAAGTGAAGTTATGGTGAAAGTCGCTAAGTTACAATTGCCTTCAATGCTATTTGCAGTCTCTTTCACAAGTGTAGAACGAGAGATCTGCTGGATCCATCGATACAGGATGAGCCAAAAAAAGAAGGGACACTTTATAACCTTGAGAAAACCCTTCTGATTCAGCTCTGATAATGTAATTTTTAAGGAAATTTTTCGTGAATACCCTTTAAGTATGCTTTCTTCAAGTATCGAAATATCGATGGATTCGTGTAAATTAATGTAATTGGTGATCATTTCTGGAGTGAGTTCAGATGCTCTTCTTAGTATGGAGAAGATGGTATTCATGTAATCAGCTAATACACCACATAATGAAGAAACTTTCATGAAATAGCATTATACGAAAATTTTGCTGAACATGACAACCAATCTCATTTTCCGTGGGATTGTTTCAATTGATTTCCGTAGTTCTACTTTTTTCACGGGGAGGTTGTGCGTGACGGAGGCATCCAATCACCCTCGTCTGTGAGCACTTTTCACCCCGACCTCGTTACGGGTTCCCAACTTACGATATTTCGTTCAAGATACGAGTGCACATAGACGTGAACATTTTTCCGATTTCATCCAGGAGAAAAATACCGTACCTGAAAGTCTCGGAAGTGAATGCAGAGGTGAACGTCACTGCCTTCCTCTTCCAAATTCTTGACGAGTTTCTCCAGTACCCAGGTCTGATCTTGGTCGGAGAAGCAGACGTAGGCGTCGTAATCGTAGCTCTGCTCTGAACTCTTGCTCTTCCGTCTGCTCCTCGCGCGGAAGTACAAGTACTTGACGTACCACCACCTCCGGTACGCAAAGTATCCCAGGACCGAGAGAGTGATGACGAACACGGACAGCCCGATGGCTAGGCCCAACACATTGGACTTGGTGTCTGGCTGAGTATTGCCTCCTATTCGGCAGTCCTGAAACAGTTTGTCTCCGTCGTGCAATAGAGAATACTCGGTACCGTTTTTGGCCCGGCATGTGTAGGCCCCTTCTTTTTCCCAGTTATCCAGCGTCGTATGATTTCCCATGGCCCACCTACGGGAATTTCCACCATATCTCTACAAGGTGTTTCTGAAGATCCTTGATCATCACATCATCGTTAACATAAAAGGATAAAGCTGGGCCAACCCAAAAACAAAACAATCAATCTACCGAAAGTCTTTATAAGCAGAGATATTCTTCCTTCTGTAATTTGCGTTTGCTTAAGAAACTATCGAAACAGAGCTGATAGCTTTCACTTTCACGTGATCACTTTGTACAAGATGGCCTGAATCAAACATGTACTCAAAATTGAGAGCAGTCAAGGATTCAAAACTGTTGAAATTTCGCAAGTAGAGCTTTCTAATAAATCATCCCTTAAGAAAACCTTTTCGAATTATCTGGTCCTCGAAGACTAACCTGTAAAAGTCACAAAGTCCGCAGTCACACTCGAACAGATTTTTGGAGATATCCAGTGTCGTCAAATTGGAAAAGTCGATCAGCATGCCCTCCGTGACCTCAACTAAATTATTCCGATCCAGCCGGAGGGTGTTTAGATTCGTCGAGGTTGCAAAGATGGGCAATTTCCAGGCTAGGATGTTGTTCTCGGACAGGATCAGAGTCTCTATCTTCTCCAACCCGAGCAGGAGGTCTCCAGTCAAGTATCTGATGAAGTTATCGCTCAGTTTCAGAACTTTAAGATTTTTCAAGTCCTTGAAGGGTGACGTGGCGCCTCGAAATGTGATCTCGTTGCCGTGAAGGAAGATGGAAATGAGGGAAGTGAGACCCGATAAAATCTCGTCATTATCTATATTTATCTCATTTCCGGATAGGTCTAGGTGTTCCAGGGACTCCAGGGCTGAGAATGTTAAGGACTCGATCGATTTCAATTTGCAGTTGTTGATGTCTAGTCTCTTCAGGTTCTTCAGGCCTACAAGAGTCAACGTAGAATATTCTCCGTGAAATTTAATGTTGAGTAATTATTGATGGATGCACAGGATCAACTTCACTTTAGTCAATAAGACCTCTTGATTAAATTCTCTGGAATCAGAGAGCATCTTTTCATTAGAGCCTCATATGGACAAATCTGATACACGTCACAACACCCCTGATGCCTTTTGGGGTCATGTACAGGATGGCTTAGCAAAAAAAAATGTCCCCCAAATTCAAAGTTCTGTATTCTTGTGCAATGTAAGAAGTGCCCCCCAAAAAAATTTTTAATGACGAGCCTTTTCTGATCAAATGTGCTGGATGAGCATTACAGCTAGCAAAACTCCCTTCGTAAAACAAATGAGATTAAAACTCTAGTATGGGAGAAAGACCAGTGTTCGACATTTGCTAAATTCTTCTACTTTACTAAGTTTATTTCATTAAAAAAAAAAACCTTCTTGAATAGGCTCAAAAACGGGTCATGATCTGCAATATCCAGGTAAGAGTCAAGCTTAAAATGAAAGAAGCTTAAAACTCAGGCTTGAAGAAAAAAAAAGCCAGAGAAAAGTTCGACGACTTTCCCCGTATTGGAAAGCTTGATCACACCTATACTGTAAATACTTCCCTTCTCGCGTCTGAGACGCCTGAGCAGACAGAGGAGAATTTTTGAAGACTGAAGAGACTGAAAAATACGCGAGATTGCCTTGGAAAAATGGGCACCTTGTCTTTCACTGTAACTCTCATTGATCCTGGTCTTTTTCAGGTATTAATGACACCCCGATGGACTCCCATTCGATGGCAGTCCATGTGTGAATCTACGTTCTCAGGGATTGGTCAAATTCATAAGGAATTGAAAGAGTTCGAACCAGTGAATGTAGCTCTGGTGATGCTCTGAGTCTTGACGGTGCTGCCAGAGAGAGAGAGGGTGAGAAGTTGATCCATGTCCTCGAAAGGTGGAATGATCAAGCCGTCGTCATCGGTGCGTTCCATCGATTCCGCGGAGTCGTAATACGGATTATTGTTCAGGGTCAGGATGATCAAGGTCGGCAGCATCGTCGCTGTTGGCACCTGCAGTCCATCCCCCATAAGTAGTTAGTGTCGTTACTTCACGAGAGAACTTCGGTTGCGTTTATTTTATTTTTACTTATAGGATCGAATGTTAGGCTCATCACTTTTGGGGCGTTCTTGTGAAAGGTGAACAGTCTCATGCCAGCGATCTGACCACAAGAATATCTAAAATTTCATTAATAATATTGTACAATATGAAGTGAAGAAATGCTCCAATTAGGGGGGTTACAGATTTTTGTATTAACTAGCAATAGCTAGCTGTTTGTAAAGAAAAAAATATTGAAACAATTTGTATTGCTTGAATATTTTTCAAAGTCTTTTTCATAAAAATTCCAAAAATATTTACACTTTTGAAAACTTTAAACGCACTATCAGTTGCAAAAACATATAATGGAAGTCGATCCTTAAACCGCCTATATTAAAATCATTGTTCTTAGCTCTTCATCTAAAAAATGACAAAGGAGAGAGATTTTTAAGTGTAAAAACTATCAAGCTAAGAAAATGATCATTTGAATCCAGCGTACACTTTTTTCCAAAGGGAAAAAAAGTAAGTTCACGACATACAGTGCGCGTCAAAATTAACATACCGGGGTTTCCTCTTGTTCAACGAGAGACGTTAGAGAACCTTTTATTTCATTAGGAAGCACATACAGAACCCTGATCTCAATGCAGAGTAAAATTGCCTTTCACTTCGACTGCAGCACGTAATCGGCCTGGAATGGAGTCTACCAATTTTTGTTGCTAACTCTTCGCTCCGACTCTCCCACACCTCCTTGATTATTACTCGTAAACTACGGATTATTCTGGGGTGCCGATACACCACTTTGGCCTTCAAGAGTGCCCACGCGTTTTATGTGGGGTTGTTGAGGTCGAGAGACTGCGACGGACAGTCCAATGGGGACACCCCGTTCTCGACCCTCCGCGGTTTGTTGGCTGCTTTGTGGTGTGCTTCGGATCATTGTCCTCCTGCAGCATCCAGGGCCTCCTCTTAAATCAGGAAACATGGTAGCTACAGAGGGCAAGAGGGCACGCTCATAAATGGCATTCAGCAGATTTGCATCCAGGTTCTGGGTGAAGGTGGAGATCTTCCCAAACCCTCCAGCAGAAAAGCAGCGCCAAATACACATCTTACCTGGGTGATTGACAGTCCAAGCCATCACGCTTTTCCCTCTACCATTCCCGTCTCTCGATATCTTTTAAGCCAACCGGCCTTAGCTGGCTTTGAGATCCTTTCATACTTCGCGATGGCGGCAGAAGAGAGCTTCGGACCCATGGGACAAGTGGCAAGAAATCAATCTCGTAGCGATCCTTCACTGAAAGTGGCATTTTTCCTCAAGCCCAAATAAACATCTGCGTAACTGGGATGCAACAAACTAGAGTCCCCCCCCCCTCCATTTTTAGGCGGATCAGCATTCACGGGCAGCTGTCCTATGGAAAACCTTTGAGCCGCTTTAGTTCCATATTTTTTTTAAGAAACCCTGGTAAGTTAATTTTGACGATCACTGTAGTTCTAAAAATTCAGAGTTGCCCAAGAGACTCTGTTACCCAAAACTGTTAGAAAACTTGGTACAATCTGCAGAACACGCATTCCATAACTGAAAAGGCTTAAGTCAACGTCTTTCTGCTCCTACGTGCTTCAGGAATCCTTCTGGAATTGATTGGCAAGTGGCTCGGAAATAAAGGACGCTCGGTATTTGAAATTCGGTCGCGATGAACGATTCAAGCTCAGTGACTTGATGGTGTCGTCCTTTACACTGATGTTGTATCTGACAGTCTTATCACGAAGGCTGATGTTCGGATTCGACAGCCCTGCAATAAGGTGAACGAGTGCATTGCTAAGAATTATACGTTCTGCGTGTGCTTCACGCTCAACTCAAAATCCAGTGTGTGGCCTTGTGTGTATCGGGACTGAAGGAGTATGTTCATAATGCATGATTGGGATTATGCAACATGAAATAAATGAAAACGAGAGGCCTCCATTAGGCGCAAGAATGATCCTGTGTTATATGAGATTCCTCTCGAGAAAACGGGCGGATATCCATGAAGCTGCATCACAACTGAGTCGTAGCAATATTTTAGATGAAAAAATAATGTAGTGATAGCATAGTGTTATAAAGTCGAGTTATACTGCCTTGCTTTGTTATGCAAACATCCCCATATGATTGCATAGTTATCAGCTCATCTATTGCTAGGCAAATTACTGGCTACTGCGTCCGTGGGTCAAACAGATTTGACCATGATTCTATTGAGAAAAGAAAAACTCTGGCAGCAATCGTCGTGGAAAGGAAAGGATGATAATTAGAACAGATTCAACAGAAGATATGACGATATGAGGGGAAATCGTGGGAATGTCGATCTCGACCATCCGTACTGTCCACAACTTCATTTTGAATAAGGCAAAAGATACGATAGGAATGCGTGCTATCTCTGTTTTTGTTCCTACGTGACATCCAAAGGTCAATACAGGATGAGGAAGACCCAAAGTGCCTCAAAGTACCTGACCTTCGCCCTTCTTTATCTTCATTTCCGTCAACACCCCCATGACAGCAGTTACAATGATATCGCTCGCACGAGATATCGTGCTCCTCATCTGAGATAATGAACATAATAAGGCTTATTTTGCTGACCTGCGTGAGTACGTTACCGGAGAGGTCGAGGACACGGAGACTGGGAAGTCGGTTGAAAGCACCAGTTTCGATGGTTCTGATTCGACTCATTGAGAGGTCGAGGACATCCAAGACTGGTAGGTGAGGGAAGGAGAAGCTACTGATATTTTCTAGGTTGCTGCCGCTCAGATAAAGTTGCATCAAAGTGGCTTTGAGGGGAGTCAACACGTCCTTCGGCACCTCTTTAAGTTCATTTAGAGACAAATCCAGGGATAAGTTGGACTTGGAGCTGATGGTGGCCATTGTTCGGGCCAAGTACTCCATCTTAAGATATACGTTGTTCTTCAGGGATAATTTTTGTAGACTTTTCAGCGGGGCAAAGGTATCTGTAAAAAGGAAAATAAATGGAACGGAGCTCCTTGTCGTCAAGGCCACATAATCTTTTTTTAGAGCGTACATGCTGCACAGAATGGATGCAATCTCGTCTCACCTTTATCAATATATCGCAGCTGACAATTTTCCAGGAATAGATTCAGAAGCGGACTTCGTCGAAGCGGCAGAAATATGTCGCCAGGCAGGATCTTTATTGGGTTGCCACTCAATCTCAAGACCTTCAAATTTGGCAGGATCTCAAGTTGCTCACAGGGGGAATGAGGAGATGAAACATTTATAATGGTATTAACGCGACACCGACAGAAATCACCCGAGTTCTGCACACCACTCGTTCCGTTCTCGAGTTCCAGTAAGGTGAAAAAGGAATCGATACCGAGCTGGTTGTCCTCCATGTGAAGATTAGTAAGGTTGTTGAGGTTGAGGAAGTTGCACCACGTGACATTGCCTTGAATCACGTTCTTAGAGAGATGAAGGAACGTTAGCTTGGGGAGGAGTCGAAACGCTCCCTCGTCTAGCTCTTCGATCACGTTCTCCTCAAATTTCACCGTCTCTACTGTGGTTGAGTCTAAGTCTTCCGCCTCGAGGCGACTCAGTCGCGAATTCATGATGTGGATGATGGTGATGCCCTCCGGCAGGGGCTTCGGCAATTGCGTCGCGTTTTGGCACAGGAGTTTCGTCCCATCCGCAATCTTCTGAGTATGGCAACTTCCTTGGCTAGGACGAGGTGCCGCCTGGGCGAAGGCTTGCAGGAAGACTTGCCCGAGGAGGAACAAGACCGTCATCACATGTCTGCTCACACAAACCTTCATCGCGACCTCGCACAACCACCGCGGATCCCGCACAAGGCCAGGGACTCGGCTGGCATTGAATTTACGACTCCAGTCCCCGATAAAAAAGAAATGGAAAAAAAAGAGACTCGGGAGTAGTGGAGGTATTTTATGAGTCTCATGACAAGATAAGGGAGACACACTGCAACCGGAATCAAGCGGGACATGGTTCACCTTCGTTATCTTTAGTCGCCAGACGAAATGCTGCTTCCCACGTACCATGATGATGATATAACAAAGTAAGCGGATGCGAAATGCGGAAATGGAATAACGGTGAAAAAGTCTACTTATCTCCCATGCAGTTGAGGAAAGCCCTTCTCTCAGAAAAGTCCCATTCGAGTCGGGTTATCAAGAGGCGGCTCCTTTGAGTCCCGAACGGGCCAAAAGACGAGATCCTGAGGACATCGAAAAAGAACTGAGGCAACAGGAAACAGAGATGCAGAAACTCATATCACTCAGCATCAAGTCAGGGAAATTGTCTCTCTTCGGATCGACTTCAATACTTTCCTAGGAACATTGTAGATCATCGAGAACTTCTTTCTCTCCCATTTCTTTCGTTATGTCGCTATGTTTCTGAAGGCTGCCGAAACAGGTTCTATGGTTCGAACCGCCTGTCATGTGTCACTGGGACGAAAAGAAGAGGTATTGGTCAACCGAGGGCTTCTATGACAGCAAGCATCAGGAAGAGCAGCAGATCAGCAGCGTGAAGACGCGACACCTCGGCGTCTTCGCTCTGGCGCAGCGGCGGTTCTCCAACTTCCCCTACCAGAGCTGGGACTTGAAGCCCGTGGAGGAAGGATCCGTTTCCTACACCGTGGCTGCGGCTGTCGTCACCGTCGAGTTCATCATCAAAGTAGGGCGATTTCCCTCCTCAGCAAAAGTTCGATTTGAATTTCGAGCTTCCTAACAGAAACTCGTGTTTTCTAAAGGGTGGAATGGTGTCCATCAATAATGTACAGAACAGTTCCCATCAAACCCTACAGCAATTATATCGCATACCGATGACTCCAAATGAAATATTAAAGGTGAGTTGGTTCGTGGAATTATTCTCAGCTGCCAATGGTCAATGTGGAGGTTTTTCCTAATCAAGTTGGGACAGACTAACAGAGAATGGATATTCATGGGTGCTCTCTCTCAGAAGATGGAATGGCCTTTTCTAGAACCGGATGGTGTAGCCAAGCAATCCCACGCTTGCTCTCAGAAGTAGAGGGTGCGGCAGAAACACCTGACGGTTTTTTTTTTAATAGCAAATGACTGAGCAGATATATTTTATAGTGATATATTTTTTAATTCTGCATAAATTGGAGAATAGTTTTCCATACCTCAAATAATTTTTTGAAGATGATGTCCTGCAGATGGACTCCTTCGCGGTCAATACATTCTCCTGCTCGTGTGATCGCCGAGTAGTGTTTCTGCAGAGCCTTATTTGTCGCTTTGGGGACCTAAACTGGCCTCCCCGCTCACCAGACATGGCAGCGCCTGATTTTTTCTTGCAGGGTTATTTAAAGAGCAATGTGTAAGTGTCACGTCCTGCCAGTATCGATGATTTCAAGGAACATATTGCCAGGAGATTCGAAACATCCCCAATGACTTACTGCGCCGAGTCATGGCATCCATGTCTACTCGCGCAGGAGAATGTATTGACTACAGAGGAGCCCATCTGCAGGACATCTTAAAAAAAGAAATTGAGGTATGGAAAACTGTATTTTCCAATGTATACAGAATTTTAAAATATATCACTGTGAAATATATTTGCTATCAATCATTTGTTATTGCAATTTAAAAACCGTCAGGTGTTTCTGCCCCACTCTGTATATATTAGTATCTCGTTACCTCGGGCTCCGTGGTTTTCATGTAAATTCCGAGGGCCACCATGGAGCGCTAAGTGGCCTGTGGTTGACTCAAAGGGAAGCAGGAAAGGTCAACTGTCGACTCAGGAGAAATCCGCTCGTCGCACTTAAACCCTAAACCTCCCGGGGACTGCTCCGATGCTCTTCATCTACCACTGAACCACGGTTACGCGGTAGTGTTGGGAGAGCTACTCACATAAAGTAATCAGTAGCTAAGTTTTGAATAGCTAAGTATTGAGTAATCAGACTACTCCCTTCTGATAGTAGGCAACTGCAACTGCAATCAGTTTATTATGCAGAAGTAAAAACACCAAACAGGAAAGGATTTAGTCCTAATTACCAGTCGGTCCCTTTATGGTATAGTTGCATTACAGCTGGGATTTTTTGCTACTCTTGACTTTATATGTCCTGGTGATCACACATATCTAAAACCTGTCCTGAAGAAGTTCGATCGTTCGGACATAGCTATTCCACGAAGAAAATGATAACCATAATATACAGTGTCCTGGAATGTTCTGAACCTCGAGCCTATGAGTAACTTATGTAGCGAGTTTGCGACATGACGGTTCTGGTGATTGGAATGCTCACGAGACAGCACATGTCACATACCCGGTGTCGTCGGACTCTCGAATTAAGTGGTCTACCAATTAAAAAATGACCTCTTTACGATTTCCCCTTCATAAATTCAAACCTTGCAGACGATGGTGCGACAGGTACCAGTTGATACGTGATTCCTTGAATTTACATTATTCCATAAAGTCATTTATGAGAAAGGTGACCCGGACATCATATGGACCCATCTATGCAACCAGATTTGTTTCCATTCAACCAAATTTTCAACGTGATAACTATGTGCATGGGAAGAGGAATGTCGATGAGCCTTCAGCTTCAACTCTTCCTTGTTTCCATTGTTCTGAAAATATTCTTAAAAGAAAGAATCCCAGCCTGTACGCGGAGGAACGCTGATTGAAGTAAATGATCGATGCAAACAGCCCCATTAGAAGTAGTAAACTGTTTCTCTCCAATCGATAAACCATCTTGAAGAACGTGTCCGTATATACTGGGTATTGACTATGAAAAAAAAAAATAGACCAACGATTTTTAACAAATATATCTCCGCTCTCACTGGACACAAAATTTACGCTAATGACTGAAAGAGAAAGTTCTTACGACCTGTTTTCAAATGTCTCGTAATGTAAGAAGGCTTTTGAGGATTTGATAATCAGCAAAAGAGTTATATTGGGTGGCTCATAGGTTAATATGCAGTGCTATGTACTGAAACTTTTGTTTATTTTTACACAAAAGCAAGTCTTGGACACGTGAGGCATTTTCATACTTGTACCACCGCTTCACTATGTTGATGCATTGGGCTTTGCTGTGTTTACGTCGCTGATCAGTCATTTTCATTCAGTTACAACCTGTGAAAAAAAGCACAGCTGTATGCAGACTCAAAGGGCCACCCTGTATTATGCACAACACAAACCTAAAGCAACGTGGAACACGCGCTAATACTACACATTCAGGATATCATTTGGCGTCACACACATACCTCTATCCACTAGGTATCCCATCATTCCCTTTACTATTTCAAAAGCTAATACAGTCGAACTCAGTTATAACGTTATTAAAGGGACCAGGGAAAAATCGTCGTTATAACTGAGGTTGCCTTTATTGACATTGTTTTCTTGCTTTCAAAATAGATACAACTCTAGTGCACATCGGTCGTCTTGCACTGGCTTCACTTTAAGCATTGGCCCACTAATCGGGGTGTTTGCACTTCTTTGTACCTCTTGAGCAAGGATCGGTTGAGTCATCTCGAGCAGATCTACGAAGTTTCTTGTTTTGTGGCATGTTATTCTTCTAAGTACGGATGCAGCTGTCACGTTTTTTCCATATTGTGGAAAGAGATGAACTAGGAAGTCCATGTTCACGAGAGACGTCAGCTTTACTTCGCCCACTGTTGCACGAATTATGCAAACTTTCTTGTCAATTGCGCAGGCTTGCCTCTTTTGCTTTTCACTGGCCATGTTGTCAACGAGAAATGCAAACGGGGACTGAAGATAATATGATCCTTTTAGTTACTGGGGATTATCCCTTCTTCACCCTCACCTACACGACTCTCAAGGAATGCTGATTCCAGGAAAGATAAAGTAATAGCTCACCATAACTTTTATCCTTCGCTCACTCTTCCGATGATGGAAATTCCAGTTAAGAATGACAAATTGGAACCGTCAACGTTGTATATTTCGTCAGTGGGACCTTGACCTTATAACCGAGGATCGCGCTATAACTGAGGTAAAATTTCACGAACCTTATGGGCTCTATGCCGGGACCTGGCGCTCTTCGTCGTTATAACCGAGTTCTACTGTATTTTCCAAACTACTGAAAGCTTCTTGATGCAATTGGCATCAGCCTGCTTGCATCAATCGGCGCCGTACACTTGTTAAGTTCGATACCCTGTATTTTCATGAAGACGTGATAATGATTAGGCCAAGTATTTTGGAAAGATTCTTTGGGAATGAAGAGATGAAACCATGTGTGAAATTTGATCATCCGGGTTCTGGTAGTTTCAGGGTTAATGGTCACAAATACTCTGAATGAATTTTCAGACTCCAGAACATTCCAGGAGAGGCTGTACAGTTTATTGTCAGGTAATTATTCTATTTCTGCCTTTCACTGAATTTGACATAAACTGAGCTGCCAATTGGGTGGATTATTTGCTACGTCTATGTGCCAAGTTTTCATAGTGTTACGAGGCAAACTTCACATGAATTCGTCAAGAGCAATTTGTTCCAAGTACCGAAGAACTAGAATTCTGAGTTCTATATTGTTCTGTCTACCAACTATTTATTGATAGGATTATTCAATGAGCGATTGGGCCGGTTAAGGATGCTCACTCCGATGACGGTTAGGTCTGACATGAACATGAATCTTTGGAAAATGCTTGATCCAGCTGGATTCTTTCCTGATGGTCCAGCGGTCAGGAGTCACACTAGACGCATTTGAAGCTGTGGCGTACATCAGGGCTTTGGGCGACTCAGAAAGCCCGTATACCGTAAACCCCATATACCGTATGAAACCACCCTAGGTCGTGTCACTTACAGGGTGCGCATAAGTCTTTTGACAAAATGTACAATGACCGTACATCCAATGTACATACTTGTGTATAGCAAAAACGTTGTATTTTTAGTTCCTTATCAGTGCTGCACATAGCTGCATAGGGGAAGCCGTGCGATGCATCATTCATTTTTTTAGAATGCCACCTGATGCATGACGTTTGATTGTTAGCGCATATGAGCGAGGTGACTCCCAAGCAAAGATATATCACGCGTTGCAGCAATTCAGAATCACATGGAAATTTATATCTTACACTATTCAACGCCGGAGTGTGTGGCTGCATCACTGACAGCCCCAGAATGGGAAGTCCTCGTTATGCTCGCATTCCACGGCTTGTGCAAAGAGTAAAACAACGAATTGTGAGAAATTGTCGACGTTTTGCCAGAAAGATGGCTCGGGATCTGCACACATCGTGCACAACTCTAAGGCGAGTGCTAAATGAAGATCTTGGCCTTGGAGATTCTGCAGAAGATTGTGAAGCCGACAGGGGAGCAAATATTCAAAAGCCGGAGGTGGACATAGCAGCAACATTCTGCACCTTCCCACAGTGCAAAAATCAACCAAGCCTGATGCAATGAAAATCTTTCAGATTTCATCAACTCGTCAGAATGACCATCGTCATCGCCTGACTTAAACTCCATGAATAATCCATTTGGTGGACATTACAAGCCAGGATCAACGTTAACTGTCACACAAGTTTGAATTCTTTCAAATGCGCCATCTTGCGAGAGTGGGAGAATTAATCCAATGGATTCTGTTCGTCCAGTCATCGATTCTTGGCGTCTGCGACTGAAAGCCTGCGTGGATGCAGGAGGCGGATGATTCAAATAAGACTTTGCCACTTTGCTCGCTTTGCACTAGTGAATCATAAGTTCCAGAAATGCATTTTGTTCTGTCGTTACGCTGTCATAATTTTGTCAAAAGACTTACGGCGCACCCTGTACGTAATGCCGAACTGCCAGGCCGAGACAAAACCGATATAATGGATCCCACAAGTGATGATTACGACAGACATCTGTCACCCACAACATAATGGTGAGGTTCATGTGTGGCGCTGCACAATGCTAGATTTTTTTGCCGTTCTAGATAAAGTAGTTCGGTCTCCTTACTCAGTGAAAATAGCAGATATAGCAATATTACGATTGGGATCTATCATTCCCATATTACATTGCAATTAGCTTGTCCAATTTTTTTTACTATTTCGTCTGCCTTAAGTTGCCAAAAGCAGCAAAAAAAAACTTATTTACTCTCCCGCTGTCTTTTATTTCCCCATAAATGTAATGCGGAATAACTTATGTCTCCCAAGTTTTCCCCAAATTTTAAATATTTTCACTTTAAAAAAGCATCACAGTAGTGTCTAGGAGATCCCCAATCGTATTCATACCCTGAATTACATTATATCACACCAGCAGCATCACCTATGAAGCTAGTGCTTCTCTTTTGCGTATTGTTCTCCCCATGACGTATTTAGTGATACTACTCCAAAAAATCGTTAAGGATGCATAGTTTTTGCTTTATCTCTTTGGGCCAACTCCTTTTGAGTCTAAATGCCTGACAATTTAATTGCACAATGATTTCAAATTTTAGGCAAAAAGATGTTAGTGTAAGGAATTTCAGATACAGTACTTGAAATCTTAAAGAAAGTTACCTGAAAACCCCTAATATAAATAGTATAAAGGGGAAGAAGTAATGTTTCAGAAAAATTGTATGAAAAAAAAGGCATGTGCAAAAATGGAGAACTTGCTACTACTGAATGCTAGCCAAGAGGCAATAACTGGCTTTCTGCAGGTGTTGGCAGAGTATGGTGTAAACATTAGACCAGAGCCAGATTCCCCCCAGTATATTGATGGGCTGCCTGTAAAGGATTTGTCCACAGAAAATCACCTTTATCTCTGCATGGGACTGGGCTGCTCCAGCTTCCAGTTTGCCTGGTCCCGATGGAATCTCCTGGCAGGAATGGACAAGCTTGTTCTTCAATTCCGTGAGAAGATTTCATCCCAGCCCCCACAGGTTTCCAAATTTTTTATTTTCTATCGATAGAAATCCCATGATAACGATTCCTTTTCTCCTAGTTACCACAAGTGAATGCATGATATGGTATCATGCAAGGACTGAAGGCTAGTTTTAATCAAACGCCTACATTTTCACTAAATCATTCTCTTATAGCATCACAACTTTTTGGTATAACCAAATCTTTACCTAGTGAAAACGAAAATGGGTGTAATTCTACAAAATATGGAGGAGAAACTCAGTTTGATGGACTACCTATCTGTGGGGTTGTCCATCCTTAAATGTTTTGTGCATGACAATACATACCATAATCTGGCCAATATTAGGTCACTCAGTATTCCAATAAGTGCATCATCCCAAGTAACTTCTCAAACTGGATTTAAGGTAGTGCAAAAGAATAGCAAGATAGAATTTTCAATAAGTCCTAACACAAGACAAGTGGTCCTAAATTTGGGAAGGTGGTTGGATCATCAGCTGCAAATAATCATGGGTATAGGGGGTTATGAGAAATTGGTGAATCCAATATTTCAACAGTTTGACTCAAATGGTTACTGAAATAAACCCCCTGAAAAATTTGGAGGGATGGGCAATGTAACTCACAGACAAAATTACCATCATCTAAATCACTCAAGCTAGGATGCAAAGAAAAGAGGTAGAATTACTTGACTTCAAGCTTGAAATGAGCTAATAACCACATTTTCAGCTTGAGTAGTTTGGAAGATAGTATACTTTTTGAGGGGTCACTTTGCCCTTCAGTTCCAAATTATAAGGGGGCATATCTTGGAAAGTGAAATCTTGAATTCACGTGTTTTTCATTACCCCTAGTAGCCATGATTTTTTTAAAACCTGATGCATCAGTAGTGATAATCTTTGGACCACTTGACAAGAAATTACTCAGAATATGTAACCTTCAAAATGCAAGAGGCTAACTCTAAAAATAATTTAATCTCCTAAGCATTTTGCTAATTTGTGGGAAATTAGTACTCTGAATTTTCTGCACTACTTGCTGTCTAGGGAAATCATTCTCTTCTCTTGGTGACTCCTGACAAAGCAGCTATGCTGGAATGTTCTGATGTCAGTCAGTCCTTCTCTGATGAAGAAGTTCAAGACTACAGTTTCACTGCTGATCTCTACCACTTCCTTCTAGCAGCAGGATCTCCTCAGGTTAGGCTATGACATGACTTTCAGTATCAAACAACATGAATCCCATTGACCACAGTATTTCTATGCACATGCAGGCAAAAGAGCTCATGTCAAAGCTGGAGTGTGACCATTCCTACACTGTGTTCGAGATGTTATGGCTGACCAAGCCCCTTTCATATGCCTGAAGCAAGATCATGTTGGCCTATCTTGGGCAAAACTGATGTCTTAATGCCACAATACCTTGGATTACCCTGGCAGGAATTGTTCATGCATGTTTAAAAATGATTTTTTCATCATATGCTTTCATGGCAAGTTGGGACCAATGCAGGGCCCAGAAAGAAAACTGCAATGAAAAATTTGCTGCACATGTTCAAAACAGGTCACTTTATCCCATCAGTTTTTTTACATTTTGTCTCTTGACATTTGAATGTTATCTCTGTCCAAGTTCAAATAATTATTGGATCATAATCTGAATCCAGGGAATGAGACTAGAATATGGATGAGGTTACAGTACGAATAATGGTGATGAAGAATAAAACAGAGGCCTAATGAGGGCCATCTACTTCACCTAATCCATAGTTGATCAGAGACCTACCCATTACTTGAAATGACACTGATGTCAAATTACAATAAACAAATTGCAATGCCTTGTTCACTTTTGCTGTCTATTGCTCTTCACTTGGTTCAATATATCAATTTCTCTAATCACAGCTTCAAGTTCACTTTCAATGCTGCTGCACTCAGCACATAGTAAGAGTACTCCCCCAAATATCTTCTGTGCCTCTCGTAGGCTGTTGGGGACAAGCACACCAAACCATCTCAGAGGGTTGCTTGCCTGGCTCTGCCTTGGATCCAACTGCAAGTTGGAAAGCTTCTGTTCAATGCCATCCTTGACTTCATCTTCAGTGTCATCTTTCACCTTGGCCGAAGGAAACACTCTGAAGTTGTAATATTTAAGCCTCAAGGATTTACCTATCATCCTTTCTGACTCCTGGAAAAAAAAGGCATTCAAGCATACATTTCATAGAAAGTGTTGCAGTTGGAAAAGATGAGAAAGAACCTTGGTTCTAATACTAAACACAGGTGACTCTACTTAATGAAATACTGCTCGATGGAAAACCATAGCAAGGTCCTGATTTATGCTATAATACAGTAGGATAGTTTCAGTTATAAGAATACTCCAGAATAAAATGTGCTGGTCCAGTGAGTAATCCATTATGCAGAGTCAACTGTTATGTCAACTCACCTCGAATGATGACAGAGTACTTGCTGTCATACCTGCTTCTTCACTTGGGATCTGAAGAGTGCTCACAGAACTACCTCCCATTACATAGCGAGCCTTTGCAAGCATTCCAGTACCTTCTTTCATTCGTCTTTCAATGTCAACTTTCATGCTTATCACTTGATTCATTAGGAAGAGACACTGTAAACTAAGCAGATCCAACTTTTCATCAAGATCCTGAGATGTGACATCTTGGGACTCCTCAATGTGTGATGCAGACATTTCCCAGAGCATAATCCTTGGATATTAATAAAGACAGAAAACATGAATTAATCTTCAGGTCTGAGTCTTGAAAATGTGAAACCACTCACAACTTATTTTCCTAAGTAAGAACATGTGAAATTAGGTAAATAGCCATATCTGACATCAAGGGTTTTTTTCAGGGGTTAATTCCATGGTTTGTCCTAATTGCCTTGCCATTATTTAACTCTTGGTATTCTTGTCGTTGGTGGTCTACGTAAGGCCAGTGGTCTACACCCTATATTTATTGATCTTTGTCCAGTCTTTGGTCTACAAGCAATACCCATAACCCTTTAAGGTAGTGAGACACAATGAGCATGTCAATGTAACCCTCATGGAAACACTCGGCGAATGTCTTTCAATAGGCTAAAAAATATATCTGTGTGTTGGTTAATTGAGCGCCACCAACATTCTTTCAGATGTCGTGGAAGCATGTCTTGGCTGGTGCTGTGCATTTTCCTAAGAATCTTCAATTTCAATACTGACCATAGGGATTCAACTGTCTCCGTATTGGCACCAGTTATAGGATCAACAAAGTTTGTCTGGTGGTTCACAGTTTTGTGTCGATATCCATACTGGTTCAATGTGGTGTAAGCAGCCCACTCATCGGACACGATCAATGTTCCTGGCGCAACCTCATTTTGAATGATTGGGTGCAAAGTTTCCCTATCACGACAATCAACTACAAAATAGCATCTTTCGATGATCTTCCTTCCATCCAACTCATGGTTCCAGCAGATGCCAAACACCCATGGCCCCGACAATCGACTTCCATGGTTACGATTATTCTCTATTCCTCCTGCATCTGAGTCATCAGATGGAAGTTCTTCTGTTGGTAAATTTCCAGCTTGGAGCCGACCACGATTGGCCTTCCTCTTTCCCCGGAGAAGAGCTTCATCGATTTCCACTCGTTGATCATTCCCTCCCATTGGCTCTCTCAAGTCAAACATGTGAACACATACATCTCGACACAAGTTAAACCAATCATTTACGGTGTGGGCGCCACAACCCGTTAATATTGAAACAGTCACTTGTGGAATGTCCAGTGCCAAGTAGTAGCACAGTTCCAAGATCTTCTGAAGGGAAAGGTGGCTATTGCAGCATCCATTCACATATGTGAATGTAAAGAAGTCCTTCCCTTTGCGAATCGATTGGTGTGCTTGACATCCACGTCTGGTGCACCTCAATGTGTGGTATTCCTTGACGGAACCATCAGCAAGCTTCTTCTTGCGTTTTGTGGATTTCACCTCACTTCCACACCTCCAGCATTTCGGTAAATCGTCCACACTCTGAAGCCGCCCATGCTCACGCAAGAATGCAATACAACTCTCTTCGGTAGCAATCACGGAGTAAAACTCAACAGCTGAATAAGAATATGACAGAGTTCTCATAATTTATAGGTTCAAGTCTTTCCCTTGAAGACTATCCCTGATGCTCAGAGGATTAAGAGATTACCCCTTTACCTGGTGTGGGTAGAACTTATCCTTTTTCTAGCATTGTCAGGGAGGCATGGTGTCAACAAGGATACAGTTCATGCCGAGATAAGCCGTGTCAAGATAAGGTGAATTCAAGTCGGGACTCCAAAATTTAAAAATTTTTTAGAGAACCTTAGCACAAACTTTTTACGTTTTGGTACGTAGACCACCAATGACCAGAGAAACATCAATGTAGACCACCAACGACAAGAATGCCTAACCCGTTTGGTTCTACAACCATACCATTATGGTATGGTTGTAGGTGGTAGGGTGTGCATGATCCTTTTTTAACCTTTTGACATTGAGCATTTTGAACATCAGCACTGTCAATCTGAGTTTTTTCCATCCCTTGGCATTAGGCCAACACATGATGACTCAAGCATGGATGCCAAAGGGTTAGCATTTGACTTAGTTTTAACTGCTCATACTTGTAGGTATTGCACATTTCAAGTCAGGTACCATGTGTGTGCATCCCCAAAAAAACCCCAGCTAGGAGATATGGCTGTGCATAAAAATCTCTATACTAGAGGGGTTCAGGAAAAGAAGTTAAGTGGTTCTTCCCAGGACATTAAGAGGTACAATAGGTATGTATATGCTCTCATGCCCATACTTATCATCTCTGTGAAATGACTCTTAAGAGAATGATAGATGATGGTATAATGTATTTCACATCATAAAGAGGGGTTGTCTCTGATGTCAAGAGGTAAAACAAGCTCAGGAAAGATTTAATTTTTTGTTCCTCATAGCTCCCTACTTTTTCTTGGAATAACATGAATCATCTTGGGAGAAGTTGGGAGAAAATAGAAGCTGGTATGAAGTCCACATTCTCCTTAACCAGAATCTGTCCCCATGATACTCATGGGTCATGCCAGCATCTTTGACAAGTACATCATAATATCCATTCTTCCCCCTTCTTCCCTTCACATTATGTGTTCAGTATTAAGCAATTCATTCTCTCCATTTTCCTGATGGTTTCCAAGTAAGTGAGCTTTGGAAACTTTGGCTTGATCTGGATTAAAGAGGACAGCTTCCTCAAGTTACTGAATCTGTTTTGTATTATTCTATATGAGACGAGGGAGGGGAGACATTTTTTACATGGGCACTGGCAAAAACAATCTCTCAAACAGTAAAAGAAAGGGTAGGCCTACTGAAACACAACAGAGATACAGGCCCATAAGATTAATGCAAAGCATAGGGTGATGACATAACAAAGCAGATTTACAAATTCTATTTTCACACTTCCTTTGAGCAGTGAAAATCCTGTATATATAACTAATATAAGGCCAAGGTGCATATGGGCCATAGGGTATTCTTACCCACAATGAGTGGGTTTGGCAACTCCAATATTATGCCAAAACATGGCAACTTGGAAGAGCAAATCAGGAAAATCGTCTACACTGTTTCCAGATTGAATTCATACCACCCCCTATGGTGAATGAAGGAAACACACATTTCCAGGGTTTTGCCTCAGCAGGTGATAAGACAAAACCACCCATGTGTAAGATGTCACTACCTGCAATCGATGGAAGCGCTCCTATAGAGGGTACAAATTCAATCTGGAAACAGTGTAATACCAGCAAAGTCTGGGAGGTAGGTGGTTATAGATAAATGAGGGATTTCTTGAAGCATTCTGCAGTGGGGGGGGGGGGGGGGGGCCCCTTCAATTGCCTTCTTGTTCTCAGCTCGGACATGACATGGCATTTCTGCAAAAAAATAAAGTCTGCAATTCTTCTCATGGGCTCGGATTTGCTGGAAGGGGGGCATTTCAATCTATAATCGTCAGAGGGAAAAAAAAACAATTACTATGTAAGGAAGTCCTTACGCGAATATGATGCAGAGACCGGCTCTGCTGGCCTTCCTTGTCCTGTTGATATTTTTGTCAATACACCTCTGAGCATCAAGCAGCGATACATCATGAATTACTTTAGAAAACAATCAGCCTGGAGTTTTTACGCCGTACTTAGGTCACCTTAACTCTAAGCTGCCGGATCGACAAGAATTGCAAAGTAATTACTCAGGAGCGTCACTTCAAATTATGATATACATGCAGCCTACGCGCCGTGACTTCACAATTCCCAGTGATGACACGAAAATTGGGCGAGAGTCTGTTTTTGTATTGAATAATAATGCGGTCCACGTGCCCTGCTTTCCACAATTCCCAGTGATGTACGAAAACAGCGAGAGTCAGATTTGTGCTCAATAATTTCGTGGAAAGGAAAAAAAAGGATTGTCTGAAAATTTTTTCAGCTTTAGATTTGAACTTATCAACTGAACTCATTTTTCTTAAATCATGAGAACTGTTCATCAACAATTTATTAATACAAAGCTTGCCTTCCGTAGCGTAGCAACCTCTTATCGATAGATATGTCTTCCCACTTGTGATGTGTGAGCATGATGTAAAACTGAACTGTATGAGCGTTAGGTAATCGCATTGCGTTATCAGCGGAGAGAGAGAGCTGTTAATTTAATTTGTAATAGTTGCTCACCTCTGGTTCCTCGTAGTGAACTATTCAGTGAGACCACTGATTAACTGAATGAGAAAAAGTTATACACCTTGATTGGTGAGTTAGGTCGATTTTCATTCTTTCTCTCATGTCTTCTCCATTTCTGATCCTGTCTAATCACAGTTGGCAGTTTTCTACCAATTGTCAGAATATCCCCCCCCACACTTGTTCATTGATTTAGGCTTACTAATTACACAACCTTGACCTTTAGCTTGTCTCAGCAAAGGCTTATCTAAATCAGTTCACAACCATTATCTCCTACTGAGGAAAAGTATCAAATCCTTAAATGCCCCTGATTAGACTTAGGCCTGGAAGTATTTAAAGTCATAGGCTGCTTGAATGATAAGACGTGAATAATGGTAGAACAGGAAGGCAGTGAGTGGGATGGTGACAAAATGAACCATACCCTAGATTTCACTTGGTATGTGCCTGCATTTTATGCTTGTTTTGATGCAGGGAGGTCCTCTTGATTCCAAGGAGCTGTGAAATAGTCCTGTAAGCCAGTCATCCCAGGTGTTAGCTACATGAGGTACTTGACTCAGCTGAAGGACAATAAGAAAAGTAATAGGAAGATGGATAGTGCAAGTAAGGTGGATGCTATGAGTGGTCTTGTTGATATGTTTGGAGACCAGGTGGAGAAAGAAGTGATAGAATTGGTCATGCGCGAATGCAGTGGAGATGGTAAGTTTTGATTTTGGAAGGGATTTGGCATGTCAACATTTGATTGAATTTACTTCACCTTATGCAATTTTGTATTCACATTGTAATTTTTCTAATTGAGTTTGTATAGTTTTAGTTGATTAAATTAGATTTATTTATGTAATGTATGCTTCAGGAATGCAAACTGACTTTTTTCAAGGTACAAAGCAAATTTGAAAATGAATGAAATTGGTTCAAATTGACTATCATAAATGGATTGATGTTTCAAATTATTCTTTTGGTTTAATTGTTACATTAGAAGGTCATATTTCTCTTTCTTATTTCTTAATTAGTGGAGAAGGCAGTAGATGCTCTTCTAAACCTATTGGCTGGGACTT